TGGCAGTCCACAGACTACGCCTGTATTTCGAATTTATTTGACGTTGCGGATTCATGCTCGAACTTCTAACCAGCGATACGGGTACTTCATACACAGGTAAACTGAGGCAGACGCGAATTGCCGAACATACGGCAGCAGTTCGGAGAAATGACCTCACATATCAAGTCGCGGTTCACGCGACGAGACCCGATCAAACATTGAAGTTAGAGGAGACCAAAATTCTAGCGAGAGGTGGCAATATTGAGAGTTACGAGTTAATTGAGTCACAGTTCACGACACCAAGTCGTGCAATGGCCGACCCACCCCGTATTCGGTGCTGAGACTCCGTTTGCCCAAAGTAGTTAGCCATTCTGAGAGCGCGCATGCGAACACACTTGCAAATACCGGTTAGCCAGGTTGCCGTGCAATCATCACGCTAATCTCCAACAGGGGCTGATGTAGATATCGACCCGTGTGTCAACGAGAAAGCAATTAAAGCACCAGAGAAAGCAGCCATCTCCGACGAAGGGGGAGAGCCATTAACTGACGGAACACGAGAATAGAAGCGCTTCCCCCCGTCCATATAGGTGGCCCTGCGCCAAGTTATGGGAAGGGCAAGCATTTGTGGGTACTAATCCTAACTCTAATTTTCCTGAAATTAGGGTAAAAACCACCTGCAGTACGGATCGTTTCGCTTCCCATATAGTACCGGGGAAGGTAATAATAGCGTTTTCCCAACAACTCTTTTAACATGGAAATGGCGAAGAATTCGGTTTACGGGTAGGGTCTTTGAAGAAAACGGACGGTACAGATTAAATTAGGTAGGAGCCTAGTAACAGAGACGAAAACGACCTAAAAAATAGGCAGTAATCACAGAAAATTTAGCACAATATTAATGCATATATTGCGAGTAGGTTGCACGATAAATTCTATGCACGTCAAATAATTTTAGAATTAAAACACCTCATATTTTCAAAACCAACCTTGAAGTAGATTTAAGTCATAACAAACGAAGTTAAAAAAGCAAAAAAAAACATAAGTAGATAAAATTGTCGAAAGAATATATGAAACTGATCCCGGAAAAATTTCTTTACGACTGAGATTAACACATATGTGGATTGATAGGCACTTATCTGACAGTCAGTATTCTATTCAATGACAATGAACGGAGGAGTAGTGATAGTGAGAGCTGTGGCCTCATTTAATTAACCTTTTCTGCTCGAAAGGAAAGTCCAGAACTGTCTAGGGAAACGGCAGGACTCTAAGTAGACCATTCTCAGATGCTGGGTGGGGGGGGGAGGGAAGTATATATTCACACGATCATGAAGAGGACAAGAGAGGACGAGCTATCCTTGGTCGCCACCCACGCATCCTCGCCAGGGCACGGCTTCAACTTCGAACAGGTGCGAATACTAGGCCAGTCGGACGACGGAGTCTCGCCTACTGCAAGAAACATGGCACTCGCACGCGGACTCTATGAATAGGCATATCGATCTCCCAGATGCCTATCTCGCATTGCGCGAGCAATAGCAGAGCTCAAGGTCACTCACGGCGGAGCGAACAGTGGAACCTCAAGGTCACCCCCGGCAGAGCTGACTTAATCACAGAGTAGACTGTACGTTTTCAATCCTTGACAATAGCCTCGAGTGAGAGTCCGAAACGTCGGGCAAATAAAATACTGATCCCAGAGAACGTTCTTCTGCCTTCTATTCAATTACCTGGGCCTCGCACATCTTCGACCATTGAGAATATACTCACATCTAACCGAATACTGTCTCCCCTGACGTAGCTTACCTAATTCAAAAACATGCTCCGAGAAAAGATTGTTGAAAGTATAATATCAGTAACACTCATTGCAAAAACCTAAGACATAGCCATCCTCACAAGCGATTGCAGAGACTTCAGAAACTGAATTCATGGCACTGAGATGGCCAGAAGGGGGAGGATAGTGAATAGTACTCACGTGAAGGGGTAGACGAGGGCAGCAACGCTAGGAGTGGAGCGACCACAGGCATAATCAAAGTCCAGCATCGATTGAACGGCCTTCAGTTGGAGACCCCAGACGATGCACCGACTAGAGGGTCCGAATATTGACTGGTATTTCGACTTTCCCGACGAAGTGTCCGTATTCTGCAAGAAATGGAGTAAATACAAACGATCAGCAAACTGGGGGAAGAGGGGTAGAGAGCGACATAGTTAAGGCTGCATAGAGAGGTAGCGGGTCAAAAGGACAAACAATTACTTACTGCCCATGCGAACGAACGGGAATTTGGCTTTTCTGCTACTACTACTACTACTACTACTACTACTACTACTACTACTACTACTAC